CAAAGGGATTCCCATAAGGATAACAGCCGATCTATCAATAGAAACCCTTCAGGCCAGAAGGGAATGGCAGGACATACTTAAAGTAATGAAAGAGAATAACCTACAACCTAGATTACTCTACCCAGCAAGGATCTCATTCAGATATGAAGGAGAACTCAAAAGCTTTACAGACAAGCAAAAGCTGAGAGAATTCAGCACCACCAAACCAGCTCTTCAACAAATATTAAAGGATCTTCTCTAGACAGGAAACACAGAAAGGTGGTATAAACGTGAACCCCAAACAACAAAATAAATGGCAACGGGACCATACCTATCAATAATTACCTTAAATGTAAATGGGTTGAATGCCCCAACCAAAAGACAAAGGCTGGCTGAATGGATAAAAAAGCAAGACCCCTATATATGCTGTCTACAAGAGACCCACCTCAAAGCAAGGGACACATACAGACTAAAAGTGAAGGGCTGGAAAAAAATATTCCACGCAAACGGAGACCAAAAGAAAGCAGGAGTCGCAATACTCATATCAGATAAAATAGACTTTCAAATAAAGGCTGTGAAAAGAGACAAAGATGGACACTACATAATGATCAAAGGATCAATCCAAGAAGAAGATATAACAATTATAAATATATATGCACCCAACATAGGAGCACCGCAATATGTAAGGCAAACGCTAACGAGTATGAAAGAGGAAATTAATAGTAACACAATAATAGTAGGAGACTTTAATACCCCACTCACAACTATGGATAGATCAACTAAACAGAAAATGAACAAAGAAGCACAAACTTTAAAGGACACAATGGACCAGCTAGACCTAATTGACATCTATAGGACGTTTCACCCCAAAACAGTCAACTTCACCTTTTTCTCAAGTGCACACGGAACCTTCTCCAGAATAGATCACATCCTGGGCCATAAATCTAGTCTTGGTAAATTCAAAAAGATTGAAATCATTCCAGTCATCTTTTCTGACCACAGTGCAGTAAGATTAGATCTTAATTACAGGAAAAAAATTATTAAAAATTCAAACATATGGAGGCTAAACAACACGCTTCTGAATAACCAACAAATCATAGAAGAAATCAAAAAAGAAATCAAAATATGCATAGAAATGAATGAAAATGAAAACACAACAACCCAAAACCTATGGGACACTGTAAAGGCAGTGCTAAGGAGAAGATTCATAGCATTACAGGCCTACCTCAAGAAACAAGAAAAAAGTCAAATAAATAACCTAACTCTACACCTAAAGCAACTAGAGGAGGAAGAAATGAAGAACCCCAGGGTTAGTAGAAGGAAAGAAATCTTAAAAATCAGGGCAGAAATAAATGCAAAAGAAACTAAAGAGATCATAGCAAAAATTAACAAAGCTAAAAGCTGGTTTTTTGAAAAAATAAACAAAATTGACAAACCATTAGCAAGACTCATTAAGAAACAAAGGGAGAAGAACCAAATTAACAAAATTAGAAACGAAAATGGAGAGATCACAACAGACAACACTGAAATACAAAGGATCATAAGAGACTACTACCAGCAGCTCTATGCCAATAAAATGGACAACTTGGAAGAAATGGACAAGTTCTTAGAGAAGTATAACTTTCCAAAACTGAACCAGGAAGAAATAGAAGATCTTAACAAACCCATCACAAGCAAGGAAATCGAAACTGTAATCAGAAACCTTCCAGCAAACAAAAGCCCAGGACCAGATGGCTTCACAGCTGAATTCTACCAAAAATTTAGAGAAGAGCTAACACCTATCTTACTCAAACTCTTCCAGAAAATTGCAGAAGAAGGTAAACTTCCAAACTCATTCTATGAGGCCACCATCACCCTAATTCCAAAACCAGACAAAGATGCCACAAAAAAAGAAAACTACAGGCCAATATCACTGATGAACATAGATGCAAAAATCCTTAACAAAATTCTAGCAAACAGAATCCAACAACATATTAAAAAAATCATACACCATGACCAAGTGGGCTTTATCCCAGGAATGCAAAGATTCTTTAATATCCGCAAATCAATCAATGTAATACACCACATTAACAAATTGAAAAATAAAAACCATATGATTATCTCAATAGATGCAGAAAAAGCCTTTGATAAAATTCAACATCCATTTATGATTAAAACTCTCCAGAAAGCAGGAATAGAAGGAACATACCTCAACATAATAAAAGCTATATATGACAAACCCACAGCAAGCATCACCCTCAATGGTGAAAAACTGAAAGCATTTCCCCTGAAATCAGGAACAAGACAAGGGTGCCCACTCTCACCACTACTATTCAACATAGTTTTGGAAGTTTTGGCCACAGCAATCAGAGCAGAAAAAGAAGTAAAAGGAATCCAGATAGGAAAAGAAGAAGTGAAACTCTCGCTGTTTGCAGATGACATGATCCTCTACATAGAAAATCCTAAACACTCTATCAGAAAATTACTAGAGCTAATCAACGAATACAGTAAAGTTGCAGGATATAAAATTAACACACAGAAATCTCTTGCATTCCTATACACTAACAATGAGAAAACAGAAAGAGAAATTAAGGAAACAATACCATTCACCATTGCAACAAAAAGAATAAAATACTTAGGAGTATATCTACCTAAAGAAACAAAAGACCTATACATAGAAAACTATAAAACACTGATGAAAGAAATCAAAGAGGACACAAACAGATGGAGAAATATACCGTGTTCATGGATTGGAAGAATCAATATTGTCAAAATGGCTATACTACCCAAAGCAATCTATAGATTCAATGCAATCCCTATCAAACTACCAACGATATTTTTCACAGAACTAGAACGAATAATTTCACAATTTGTATGGAAATGCAAAAAACCTCGAATAGCCAAAGTAATCCTGAGAAAGAAGAATGGAACTGGAGGAATCAATCTGCCTGACTTCAGACTATACTACAAAGCCACAGTCATCAAGACAGTATGGTACTGGCACAAAGACAGAAATATAGATCAATGGAACAGAATAGAAAGCCCAGAGATAAATCCACGAACCTATGGTCACCTTATCTTTGACAAAGGAGGCAAGGATATACAATGGAAAAAAAGACAACCTCTTTAACAAGTGGTGCTGGGAAAACTGGTCAACCACCTGTAAAAGAATGAAACTAGAACACTTTCTAACACCATACACAAAAATAAACTCAAGATGGATTAAAGATCTAAATGTAAGACCAGAAACTATAAAACTCCTAGAGGAGAACATAGGCAAAACACTCTCCGACATAAATCACAGCAGGATCCTCTATGACCCACATCCCAGAATTTTAGAAATAAAAGCAAAAATAAACAAATGGGACCTAATGAAACTTAAAAGCTTTTGCACAACAAAGGAAACTATAAGCAAGGTGAAAAGACAGCCCTCAGATTGGGAGAAAATAATAGCAAACGAAGCAACAGACAAAGGATTAATCTCAAAAATATACAAGCAACTCCTCCAGCTCAACTCCAGAAAAATAAATGACCCAATCAAAAAATGGGCCAAAGAACTGAACAGACATTTCTCCAAGGAAGACATACAGATGGCTAACAAACACATGAAAAGATGCTCAACATCACTCATTATCAGAGAAATGCAAATCAAAACCACAATGAGGTACCATTACACACCAGTCAGGATGGCTGCTATCCAAAAGTCTACAAGCAATAAATGCTGGAGAGGGTGTGGAGAAAAGGGAACCCTCTTACACTGTTGGTGGGAATGCAAATTAGTACAGCCACTATGGAAAACAGTGTGGAGATTTCTTAAAAAGCTGGAAATAGAACTGCCATATGACCCAGCAATCCCACTTCTGGGCATACACACCGAGGAAACCAGATCTGAAAGAGACACGTGTACCCCAATGTTCATCGCAGCACTGTTTATAATAGCCAGGACATGGAAGCAACCTAGATGCCCATCAGCAGATGAATGGATGAGGAAGCTGTGGTACATATACACCATGGAATATTACTCAGCCATTAAAAAGAATTCATTTGAATCAGTTCTAATGAGATGGATGAAACTGGAGCCCATTATACAGAGCGAAGTAAGCCAGAAAGATAAAGACCATTACAGTATACTAACACATATATATGGAATTTAGAAAGATGGTAACGATAACCCTATGTGCAAAACAGAAAAAGAGACTCCTATGTATAGAGCAGACTTGTGGACTCTGGGAGAAGGCGAGGGTGGGATGTTTCAAGAGAACAGCATTGAAACACGTATATTATCTAGGGTGAAACAGTTCACCAGCCCAGGTTGGGTGCATGAGACAAGTGCTCGGGCCTGGTGCACTGGGAAGACCCAGAGGAATTGGGTGGAGAGGGAGGTGGGAGGGGGGACCGGGATGGGGAATACATGTAAAAAAAAAAAAAAAAAAAAGATACACTATGGTTGTGATTAAAAAAATTAATTAATTAATTAATTAAAAAATAAATAAATAAACACTTCCTGAAAAAAAAAAAAAAAGGAGCCAGACAGTAAATGTTTTTGCTTTGGTGGGGCCACATATGGTCTCTATTGGATGCAGCCTGCAGGCCATAATTTACTGATCCCTGTTCTATGACTACTATACATAACATCAGCAACATTCCTCTCTGCCCACCAGAACACAAGCATTCACTGACCCACCACTGTGTGACAAGGGCAACACTATCAAAGTCAGAAATTAAAGCTTCACCAAAGCTCACAATGAAGTTTTCCTACTCAGCCAATGTCTTTTAAAATTTACGTTAGAACTAACAAAATTTACTAAGTACGCAGCATAAAAAGCCACCCTCTTTAACCACAAATATGAAGAAATAGGCCACAACTCCAAAACTCAACTTTTCATGGGAATGTATGTATTCATACCGACACAGAATTAAAGCTTTCAGAATGACCTAACTGAAAAGTAACAAAGCAAAGAATGCTGAGGTGGGAGTATAAATAAACAGTAGCAAGTCAGGGAAAGAAAATAAATTTCTGGCTTGAGAGCTTTCTTACTTACCCATTTAATATGTGTTCAAAAAGATGAACTTGACCATCTCTGCAAACAACAGCTAACTTGACAGGCTAAAACAAAAACGTAACATTACTCTAACAGGAAATATACTTCAGTCTACTCTAATGATTACTTATGAAAATCTGACTACCCTCTCCACCCTTCAAATAATAACCAGAGATAAATCAGAACAGTAAGGATGGACAACTTTTGAATTTAAAAATAATCACTGCCACCAAAAGAACAATTCAAGTAGAAGTTGTCAAGCTTATAAACAGAAGTTTAGACTAGGGAGACAGCAGCCAATTCCCAGCGGCCTGGAGGGTTAGAGGCACTAAAAGTTACTACCGCGGGCACTTGCTGACCACAGGGAACCGGCAGCCCCCCGTTACCTGGATTACTGAAGGCGCCACCACGGCCTGTCCTTTCCCCTTACAAGCACTCAACACAGAATCCAATGGTTACTTCAAACAGTCTAAGATTTTTGTTTTACTTCATCCTCTCTCTTTCCTGAACCATCACATCATCAAAATTCTGATTTTAAAAAGAGTATTTGTGAAGTCCAAAAACAAATTCTCAAAAAAAAAAAGTCACTTACCTCCTCTTTGTTTTCTGACAAAGTCAAGTCAATAAAGACAGGTTCATCTGTAACTGTAAAAGACATCACTGCATTCTTCTCTTTGTTTTCTGACCGGACCTGCCTAGATAATAAAACCAAGGTTTAGACAGCAAGACACTGGGAACGGAAAAAAAGGGGCCAAACAGCATTTTCATCTTTTGAAAGCTAAATAAGGTAATTAAAGATAAAAATAAGCAAAATATTTGTGTCACTACCATGTAACATGGCTCATGGGAAAAGAGAAAGCATTAATGTGTTTGTGGCAGACTTAAACAATGAGCAACCTTCTTTTCCATCAACCTATTTGTCTATCTTGATGGCAAGGCCAAATGTCTTGATCACTACAGCTTTGCAAGTCTTGAAGTGAGTCCTCCAACTTCTCTTTCAAAGTCATTTTGGCTACTCTTAAGTGCTCTGCAGTTCCACCTGAATTTTAAAATCACACTGCTGGTATTTTGACTAGGTTCACTCAGAATTTATAGATTAAGGTGAGGAGAATTAACATCATAGTAATATTGAGAAAACAGAGTCCAGAAATAAACAGATAAATGACCTCATTGTTTGTTATTTCTTATTTGAGAATATGCCTACTTGCTAAAATTTATTTGCAGACCCCAAAATCAGTATTTGCAGTGATTTCATGGTCTTAACAGGTACACACAGAGCAGTGAAGAATATGAGCAGCCCAACACCCCTGAGGTTAAACCAGACGATGCTCTGCCTTTTCACTGCAGCTTTCATGCTAAGGATTCTTTTCCCAGCCTGCTGAGTGCCACGCTTTTTGCTCCTGTGCTTTTGGCTGGTGATTTCTGTTTAAAACGGCCCCCAAGAATAATGCCCAAGTGCAGCCTAGTATTCCTAAGAGTAAAAAGGCTAAGATATTCTTAGGGAGAAAGTGTTTGAGTTCAATAAACTATTATTTAACGTAAGTTCATCACCTATGTCTGTGTGTATTAAACCATCAGCAAACAGACATTACTAAACTAATCCAGTAGTCATTTCTTTCAATAAAATCAGAGATTTTCCTAAAAAAAAAAATTTTTTTTAAGGTTTTTAAATTGCCCAGTCAGAAAAATATTCAGCTTAGTGTAACTTTAAACAAGCAGAGGAAGTTCTATAATGTAATGCTCTTAAATTTTTCTCATAAAGATCTGATTTTTAGGCAGGCTCAATTTCTCATTACAAGTCAATGTAAATCTAACATTAGATACAATGAAGCCAATCTCATATTCATCATTTATATTAACCATGTAAATGTGACCAATCCTTTCAAGGTAATGTTACCTCCCAAATCCAAAAGACTACATACCAGACATTAAGTAACCGGTCATGGACTGCTCCAGATAAGAAATAAAGACCTGTAATTCCATCAAAGGGTTGGCTCTCATTAGGAGGTCTGATAGTAGTGAACGTAAGTGATGAAACTGGTGTTGCATGTCCTGTGAAGTGCTAGAGAAAGTTAAATCTCATTTAGGAGAGGATGCATATAAAGCAGTAACAAAAATTAAGAGTTCACACGTACCAAAAAGAATACAGATAATATACATCTGAAATCAGAGCTCCAGACTACTAATTATTTGTGCTATATTCCTCTCACTTTAAAAAATTTCATCTGAAAAAAGTTAAACATTAAAGATGTCCCTTCCAACTCCCATGACCCTACCCCATAATCTTTTCTTCCTCCAACTTTACCCTAAAGACTCACTTCATTCTACCCATTTTAAAGGGGTGCTTGGGTGCTCAGACACAGCCAAGGAATTGTAGGTCTTCATGTTACTCTCAGTGAGTTGAAACCACAATTTTAAGGCATCATCACAGCACCAAAAGTTCAGTAACCCAAGTACACTAAATCGTAAGTCTACATCTCCACAGTTAAGTACTGTGTTAATTCTAAATTTCCTTAGTTAAATACTAAGTGTACCAAATACTGGATGCAAGCTAGAAATTAAAAATTACTATCATTATTACACAATTATAATTATCAACAGAGAATTAATTCAAATTCTACTCATTTCTTCCATTTATATTCATTTTTGCAATGCATGTGAAACAGACATACCTAATTTATTTTAACAGATTTGGAGGCTAAGTTTTGTCTATTAAAAATCTATTTCATATGCTTCAAAGTAACAAATCTTATAAAACAATATTCTCTTGTTCAGATTCCTTTCTCCATACTTGCCCCAGACCACTGTTATGCTTAACGACTAATTCGATTCACTCACTCTGTAGACTTCTTTGGTCTCCAAAACCCATAGTTTGATTGTTCGACCAGCTGAAAGCAACATCTTTCCATCTGGGCTGATACACAGGGAACTGACACTGCTATTATCACCTTTCCATTTGCTGTATTGAAGAGAAATAAAAACTTCTCAGTAAATGGAGAGGAAACTTTACTCAGAGCAAAAATAAAAAAACATCAGGCCTTAAAAATGCCACTTAAGATTCTAAGCCAAATGGCAATCCCCTGAATCTTGAGCCAAGTAACCAACCCTGGACAGAGCTCCAGGGTCTTGCCTCCCCAACAGGACAGAGAATCTGGAAAGGTACCAGGAAATGGGTGAGTAAGAGCTATGAGAGTGTACAATGGGTAGCTCTGTATCCCAGAGGATACATGTGATACATGTGATCCATGAGGTGGATTTTATTAATACCCAGGAAACTGGGCATGCTGGCTGGGCCTCTGCAAAGCCACTATCCCCCCCCAAAGTTCCTGCATTCTCTGAAAGGTTGAGAATTTACTTAGCAGCACAAATCATCTCTCAACCTATGGTACAAAAAGGCTATTTCTATCCCAAATGCACACAGATATGCCCCCATCTGATAGAGGGAATAACACCAGCCATTTTCCTGCCAAAAAAGGTTAATTCTGAAGTAGAAAACATATTGTTCTGCTAGTCACAATGGACCTGTCAAATAACTCGTTTAGAAAAACAAAATTACTCTTTGGTCTAGGCTGCCAACATGCCATCCAGACTAAGGAAGACCTGAAACTTAGGAGCCACGTGAGCCACGGCCACAGTCACCTCGGCAAACACCAGAAACACTCAGAAGGCCAAGGTAATGCTGGTGGCACGTCCCACCAGAGAGTCAACTTCAATAAACACCACCCAGGATACTCTGGGAAAGCTGGTATGAGGCAGTACCACTTAAGAGAGGAACCAGGGTTTCTGCCCAACTATCAACCATGATCAATTATGGACCTTGGTTAGAACACAGACACGGGTAAATGCTGCCAAGACCAAGACTGGAGCTGCTCCTATCACTGATGTATGTGACTGGGTTACTACAGAGTTCTGGCAAAGGGAAAGCTCCCAAGGCAGCCTGTCTTCATGAAGGCCAAACTCTTCAGCAGAAGAGCTGAGGAGAAGATGAAGGGTATAGGTGCAACTTGTGCACTGGTAGCTTGAAGTGACATGTTGGGAAATTCATTAAACGGTAACAAGTGCTTTTCAAAAAAAAAAAGGAAAAACAAAATTAGATTCTTAAAATACACACACAAAATGAACTTTAGAAATTAAATCGAAACTGATGAAAAATAAAGAAATATTTATGGGAATGTTTTTCTAATTCTGGGGTTAGAAAAGGCCTTTCAAAGCAATTACAAACAAGGAATCACAAAGAAAAAAAAAACTTAATTAAACAGAACTTCTTACCACACAATAAGTCATAAAAATTAAAAGCAAAAGCCTGGGGGGAAGAGATACAAAAAATATATAGGCAACCAGGGCTCTGTAACAGCCTAGAGGGGTGGGATGAGGAGGGAGATAGGTTCAAGAGGGAAGGGACATATGTATACCTACAGCTTGATGCTTGGCAGAAACCAACACAATTCTGTAAAGCAATTATCCTTCAATTTAAAAATAAATTTAAATTTTTTAAAAAGAATACATACTTAGAATACACAAATATTTCTTTGTATTCAAGAAAGAACTCCTAGGGACTTCCCTGGTATTCCAGTACCTAAGATTTCATGCTCCCAATGTGGGGGGCCTGGGTTCAATCCCTATCAAGGAACTAGATCCCACATACTGCAACTAAGACTGGTGTAGCCAAATAAACGTTTTTAGAAAGACAGAGAAAGAAAGAACTCCTTGATTTAAAAAAAAAAAAACCTCAAAATAAAAATAGACAAACAAGGGCTTCCTTGGTGGTCCAGTGGTTAAGAACACATCTCCCAATGCAGGGACATGGGTTCAATCTCTGGTCTGGGAAGATACAGGCCTTGAAGCAATGAGTCCAAGAGCCCTAGAGCCCATGCTCCGCAACAATAGAAGCCACCACAGTGAGAAGTCTGTGCAAAACAATTTGTCAATAAACGTGAAAAACTCTACCTCACCAATAATCAAGGGAATGCTGCAATAATGAGCAAGAACTTTTCCTTTACCCTCGTTGGTACCAAACATTCTTGACAATATTTCACCAAATCCCACAGATTCAGTACTCACCTATGTTCCTTATCTACTATCTGGTCACGGAATTGACTTTAAAGAAAAAAAAGACATGATCACCATCCTGACAAGCTTTCTAAATCTACTTCACCACTGAGCACTGAAAACGCCAGCATAAAGCTACCACCACCAAAGCCCATTAAGAGCCTTGCAACCTAATGTGTTAACTAACCTCCCTCCATCAGCAGTACCTGGGAACTTGTGTGAATTCCAAAGCTCCAACCTAGACCCACTAAATCAGACCTGTAGACACAAGTAGCGTAATGTGCACTTTAAAGATGGAAAAGCAATAGGAAATGTGACTGGTTCCAGAGGAGTGACCTACAATACTAACTCTGAAGGCCTCCCAACCACTCTATAAATGAGCCCAGCAACTGAGCCACACACCCACACAGGCTTTCCAATCAGCTTTTTAATGTTTCATTTTCAAAAAACAACAGGCAGTCAAGGATCTCCAGTCACGTGAAGAATGTCTTTAATATGAAAGAAACCAAAATCAAACAAAAATCAAAACACATCCTCAAGGGGGAGATGACAAGTAAAAAAAAAACTTAAATCCCGCACTACTTCAGAGAATTAGAAAATATAGGCATGAAAGAAACATGACAGAATGAAAAAGAAATATTCAAAGAACATAAAATAGCTCTCTGAAGTTAATAATTTAGTTTGAGGAACTTAAAAATTCAATACAACACTTAGAAGGTGAAATTGAAGCAATTTCCCAGGTAACTGAAGGAAAAGACAAAAGAGTTAAAATGAGAACACAGTAAGAAACTTAAAGGATTAGTCCAGGAGATACAGTATCTAAATAACAGTATGTAGTATAAGAGAAAGGAGAAAGTGGGAATTAAATTATCAAATCTATAGTACAAGAAGAATGAAGAACATGAATTCCCAGGAAAAATGGTCCCTCAAGGGCCAACATAATGCACTGACTAAAAAAATAAATAAATAAACAAAACACAGAGTATTTCAGTGTATAAAAATAATTAACAATGAAAGCCAAAAAAAAAAAAAAAGGAACCAATGCTTCAAAATCTGGGGGAAATTATTTCCAACCCAAAGTCTGTATCTTCAAATTATTAATCAACTGTAAGGACAGAATAAAGACACTGGAAGACATGCATGGTAAATGTATTGAGAGTCTGCTTATCGTCCAGGAAGCTACCAATTTGTGTCACCAAAAAGAAGAAATAAACCAACAAAGAGAACAATGGGATCTAGGAAACAGAGGTTCCATCTGACAAGAGAATTTTCAAGATGATGAAAGGAAATCCCAGGATAATCACTAGAATAAAGCAGAGAAGTCCTCCAAGAAATAAATGAAACTGGAGGAAAGCCTACAAAGATTAAATAACTGATTCATCAACCGATGTGTCTGAAAAAAATGAAATTTTACACTATTGCAGGAATGAGACCAAACTAATGACAAGCATATACAAAATTAAGCAAATGAAGCAATAACACACCCCAAAATCTTGTGCCCAAAGATAATATAAACAGTACAGTCCAAGTCTCATCTATGACAGTATTTAGGTAGGTGTAATGTGAACAATGAATACTGTTTAATCAAAGTGTGACATTACAATACTGGGGAAATGGGGCTGGAAAAAGGTAGGGACTAAGAGCTAAATCCTCATCTTCCTAAAATGGAAAATAAAATCAATTTAATTATAGCATAAGAATGCCAAGAATGAAACTGGAAACACAAAATTGTAAGAGAGCGCATAGTTGGGTGTTAAGTTCAGACTCTGATTCAACCTCTCAAGTGCAAAACAGGGACAGAGACTGCCTTGCAGTGTTACAGAAACAACACTGTGTGTAACATGTTGACCAGTGCCTTGAACATTATCAGTCACTCCTGAAAGGACTGGCTTGGTGAACTCTCATCTAGACGGCATTTAAAAGTATAGTTTCATGGGCCCCACCCTGACCTAGTGGACAAGAAATCTCCACAGGTCTCTTTACGACCATGAGTGTGGTTAATGGAACGCACTGACTGAACCTCTAGGCAGATGACTCACTCTGCATCACCAGCCCTAAATCTTCTGTAAAATTCTAAGCCTCTTTCACTACCCCTTCTGCTGGGTCTAGCTTCTCTGCCTCTGAACTAGCTTGTCTATTTCTGAACTAGCTCCTTCCCACACATTTTACACCGTCCTAGCAGATTTTCTTCCTAAAACATTATTTGGGTTACTCTAAACAATTGTTTGGATTACCAAACAATCTAAAACTCTAAAAAAGTAGTTTCAGTACAGCAGAAAAACACTGTGCCACAATTCAAGAGAGCAGGATTAGAACTCCCCTGCCAATTATTAGTTGTAAGACCATGAGTATCATTATCCTCCTTAGGATCCTCATCTGCCTAAGTTCAACTACATTCAACAGTCCACATTCACTAAGCATCTACTATACAGTCACTCACAGGATTAGGTGCTCAAACTAGAAGATTGTCTGAGATTTTTATCAAAAATTTACGGCCAGACTCTTACACAGATATTTTGGCTCATATCCTCTACCAGCCATTATTCCCCAGTATGGCCCTCCTCTTAAATTCCTCTACTCCATTCCAAGTAAATCTTTCACTTCTCTTTCTCCGAGCCTTTGCTCCTGCCATATCCCCATGCCACATTCCTTTCCCCACCCTCAAAAAGATTCTCCTGCCCTCTTCTATCCATCTTACCTCTCTTAAGACCAGCTGAAATTCTTCTCTTCCACCTGGTCTTCCCAACACCACCCTACTCATCTAACCAGTAATTACATGCTGCTGCTGCTAAATCGCTTCAGTCGTGTCCGTCTCTGTGTGACCCCATAGACAGCAGCCCACCAGGCTCCCCCATCCCTGGGATTCTCTAGGCAAGAACACTGGAGTGGGTTGCCATTTCCTTCCCCAATGCATGAAAAGTGAAAAATGAAAGTGAAGTCGCTCAGTCGTGTCCAACTCTTAGTAACCCCATGGACTGCAGCCTACCAGGCTCCTCCCTCCATGGGATTTTCCAGGCAAGAGTACTGGAGTAGAGTGACACTGCCTTCTCCAAATTACATGCTACCTTATGGCATCTCTTATGCAGTTATTTCACTCCTGTACTGTTATTTATGTATTAAAATCCCCTTTTATGTATTATGTATTTTTATGTATTTAATACATAAAAGCTTTTATGTATTAAAATAAACTTTTATGTATTAAAATCCTCTATGTCCAATTTGATTAAAAATTCCTTGAGAACAGTCTATAACCTTACCAGTGTCTACATTCTCCATTGTATCCAATATCCAACTTTACTTATATCAAGAACACAGCCATGATTTGTCAAAACACTAATGCATTCCCAGTCATCGAGCTATCCCAAAAGTATCAATGTTACTCACCACTTTACTTTGCATGTCTGTGTATTCCATTCCACAATATGTTTATCATCTGAACAACTATACAAACAGCCATTGTCTTGATGCCACTGTATGCAATTGACTCTGTTGTCATGTCCACCACTCTGCAGATTTTTTTTTTAAAAATTTAAAAGAGAAAAAAAAAAGCTCATCTGGTATAATGTATAATATGCACGCTAGATTCATTACTAAACACTTAACTAAAATGTTAGGCCTTAACCTAATAAAAAAGCCTACCCATTAACCTAATTAAAATGAGTCTATCCATTTCCAACACTAAAAATGAGATAAATCTGCTCTAACTATCAAATATTAACTTTCTCTTCTCCTCTGCTGGAAAAACATACATTGTAAGTCAAAGTATTAGTCCTAAATCCTGCTGCTTTTGATAGGAATGGCAGCACTAAACATGATAAAATACTTCATGTATAGTGGCAACAGTCTGGGACACTTGAGTGTACTAATAAAGTCAAACCTTAAAGGTTTAAGTCAACACTTAAGGTAAAATTCACTTCTAGTTAAAACTATCCTTGAAAATCCTTTTGCAAAAAAATTACCAAACACTCTCTCAATTTTAAAAATCATTGTTTCTTCAGGGAAACACTGAATGTTTCCATGTGTCATAGCTCATACCATACGGATGAAATTTTAAATATATTTAGCATAGCAAAATGCTTGCTTACTTAGAGGCACCGCATAGAAATGGAAACATCAGCTGAGGAAAGACAAATTCAAGTCTCCCAACTAACACATATTCCAGAACAAGCTCATTCAGCAGAGTAAGGTGTTAAATCTTAGGGTAAAACCTACCCTCTGAGCAATTACTGTTTCTTCACTCTTTCCACCTAAGTTCACATCAATTAAATATACATACAATGAGTCACAACTGTACACATATCTAAGCTAAGCATAAAGGTAAACTCACTACTACTATCAAACAGATTGCTCCCACCAAAAAATAAAAATAATTTTAAACGTTAAATTCAATTACTTCCCTTCCTTCCTACAGTTCTCTACTCAAAGCCCTACTTTATAACCACACACAAAAAACTGAACAAAGGATATAATGGATAAATTCCATAGAAAGAACTCAGTAAGAATTTTTTTTTAAATTTCGGTAAGTAATCCAAGAGATACAAAGCAACATTTTCAGTCTGTTCATCTAACAATTTTTTACTATTGTAACATCCATCCTGGTAAGGCTACAGTGAAAATGACACTATCACATGTTGCTAGAGGGCTTGCAACTGTCCACTTATTCATTCATTTACTCATTCAACAAACAATGACTCAATACCAATTATTTCTAATCAACTCACTCCTTGTCAAAGATTTATATATAATCCTGTGAGGTATCAAAATGACCTAAAAAAGGAGTTCAAGCCTCCATCAGTATCACGTCTATAACTGACTGAAACAGTATCACTGTGCACCTGATGGTAGGTCCCTGCTGACCACAGAAGACTGACCAAATCAAAAGATGGGATCCAAACTATAGTGGGGTAAAAGCAAACATGAGGCCCACACTCAACTTGCAGGGGAAGGAGGAATGAAGCGAGTGTCCCTTTACATATACTTCTCAAAGCTTTTTTTCAGTTGTGTATTACTTTTATAGTATTTAATATAAAAACAAGTGATATATTTTTAAATGCAGATTTAAAAATCAAATAAAAATTTTCACCTATTAAATAAGCTTGGGCTTTTGGTTAGTCTCATTGTTGTTTTAATAGAACAATCAATGATGACAAAAACACTGCTGAAACACAGGTACCCTGCCACCGCTGAGATAAGGACAAATTAGGAAAACTTTCAGAAAAAATTTATACTATGTATAAAAACACCTAACACACACCTTGGACTCATTAGTTACAGGTTAGTAATTGTGGGAACCCATGTAAGAAAAAAAAGTTTTATAACAAAAAAATCAGAAACTACCTCAATGGTCAGTAACAGTAACACCACCAAGGGACTATCCAATTTATATGACTTTAGGCAACTAGGTCTGAACAAATATAAAAATTACTCAAGCTGTAATATAATGGGAAGTATCAGGATACAAAATTGACTGACTAAAACTATCAACAGAGGATCTCAGGTATAGGTTGGGGGGCGGGGGGTGGTTCAGGATGGGGGACACATGGAACACCCATGGCTGATTCATGTCAATGTATGGAAAAACCATACAATACTGTAAATAATTAGCCCCCAGTTTAAATAAACTAACTTTTTTAAAATTTAGGTATTTTTTTTTTCCCTTTCTAACTTCAGGTATTCCAAATTACCTATGGATAGATGTTACTTAAAAGAGAAAACAGTCTTTTATTTATACATACAGAAAGCATTCCTATATACAGATAGGAATTAAGTGAACATCAAAAACATACTGTAATAGATAAGTGTCTGAAACAAATCGTGCCAATTAAGTTACTGTCTTGCAGCACCAAGCCCACATGTCTCTGCTCTGGATGCTGGGCTGAGGCTCTACAAGCCCCATTTCTGCTTTGCCAGTGGGATCATTAGTGGGCTCCAGACCAAAGGACCTGTTTCCTTCCTGTCTCCCAGTTTGCATCACCCCAGCGTTTCATCAACCCAGCAGGAGCAATCCTCTCAGCAGCAGCTGAACTTAAGATGCAGTTTTTTCAACACGTAGAGAACCAGTCTCATCAGCTCCTTTCAAAGACACCAACAGCCAGCTAGTGCCCACTCCCAGCTCCCAGAAGTCTGGACCTCAAGTCCGTAGGGCCAATCTCCCTCGACAGACATCATCAGCACAGAGAGCAACATCTGCTTCTCAAAGGTCTGAGTTTCAGCAACAATCTCACAGCTTCCCTCATTCCCAAGCCCTAGAGGTGGCGTGCTCCTTCCTTTAGCTACTGTCTGTGATACCCAGAATTCTTACTATCCTTTCTTATTTTAAGCCTACAAAACAGTTCTTCACACTCTTCATATTCTGACCTATAACAATGACGAGGTTACCTATCACAGCAATTATCAAATATTATCGTTCAAAATTTTAAATATGGAAGGGGCAGAAAAATGCCCCTATACTACAGATCCTACAGCATATCCTGAACTGCTTTGTTTTTCATAATCAGTTTCCCAACATCTCTCTTTTATATAAAACATACACACACAGATATGTACTTACTATCAATTTACTGTGTAATTCTCCTTTTACTGTACTGTATAATAAAACACTACCAACTGCTGTACCAAGAGCCAACAAGTCGGCCTGGTTACTTGTTCCTACAGCTTCTGATTTCCTTTTTTTCCTCTGTGGACCTTCCTGGGGGAAAAAAAAAAGACAATTTTTTATTATTTCAAACACTGAACCATCGTTAATGCATAAATGCAAATGCCCTCGAGCCCACAAATGAAATGTGCCTTCTTCTAAGAAATGTTTTTTTAAATGGAGATGGGATTTGCTCTCAGATTTCTTTCTCACTACTTAGAAAATAATCACTCCACCATAAGAACCTCTAATACCTGTCCCTGTCTCCTACCTCTCTGAAAGGAAGGCAAACAGGATAACTTAGAACGCTCTTGGTAGGGATCTAAGGGTTCCAAGCAGCGTGTTTTCCACTTCTCAAAAACCAACCATTCCCAACAAGTCCAAGTGAAGTCTCCACTCTGAAGCAGAGATTACAGATTCATATACAAGCAGCCAATACTTTCCCCTTTACCCACAAAATCTTTCCTTGCCTTGTGGCTTCATTTTCGGGAAATGGGATTCAAATGCTTTTATATTTATAAACATACAATTACTTCAATTTGAGTCAAAAAATAGTTGAACTCTCAGAGGAGCACAAAGCACACACCAGAGAAGTCGCTCCAGTGACTTGACTAAGGGTCAATCTGCAAGTTCCATGCTGTGTTCTTGACTAGTGTCAAATGGGCCAAGCCTTCGACTTACTTCAAAAAATGAAACTAACAGCTCCTATCTGTTCATCAAGAAGACAACCAGTGACTACAATTTCAGAGTACTACTTTAGAGTTTATAATGCTGAACAATAATTTATAATTTTGGAACTTTTCTTCCATAGATTTATAATTTTTTTTAAATTAAAGCTTGTAGCCTATGTTTCAACATAAAGAAATTCTGAGAAATCCATTCTTTTCATGTAAAAGAGACCAATACCATACAAAGAAGAGAACTTTTTTTATTCAATACTGCAAGATCTTTGCTCTACAGCACATAAAAAGCAGTTCACAATACATACAATCTGCCCAACCCAAAAAACCACCAAGGAAAACTGATGTTATCAGTGCACAGACTATCAAGGAGTAGATTTATAAGGCATTCTCCTCTTTTTTCCTTAGTTATCCTATAGAGATGTTACATTTGAAGAATTTGATTCTTTGGACATACTAAGTCAACAAAAAATTGAAAGATTTAACAAAAAATAAGATATCTTTAAATATGGAAAAAATAATGCACATTTTACAAGTCTTGAGAAATGTATTTACATTAATAAACCCAAAAGAGAAGTTACAATTAAGAGTCAAAGTCTAAGTCTGATGGTCTCATCAGTAACATTTAATTTGACTGAACACTGAACTTAATCAAGAATCAATCAGGTTCCACCTTCAGTTACATGAATTTCTAAAGCCACCTCTGAATGATCCCAGAGGGCAAATGTGGCTTCTGCATAAGGTTATGAACACAGACACCAATTTCAGGCAAGGGAAGCAGGGCAAACTGTACCAACCTAATACTACCTCATCAGAAAACTCTTCTCTGAAAGAGTCTAGAAGTATTTCCTCTAGTCTTGGTTTTCCCCAAATCAAATTAAAATTACCTACACTGAGGTTTCTAATGTGTGGAACATGGGCTGATCCAAATATGTGTATGTTTTTCTGTCTATATGCATCTGCATTAAAAAAACACACAGAGGGCTTCCCTCGCGGCTCAGTGGTAAAGAACCCACCTACCAACACAGGAGACACAGGTTCAATCCCTAGCCCAGGAAGATCTCACATGCCACAGCGAAACTAAAGCCTGTGGGCCACAAGTACTGAGCCTGTGCTCCAGAGTCCCAGAGCCCTGACTACTGAAGCCTGCAGGCCCTAGAGCCTGTGCTCCACAACAAGAGAAGTCACCCCAATGAGAAGCCCATGCAACACAACCAGAGAAAAGCCTGAGCAGTAACAAAGGCCCAGCACAGCCAAAAATAAATACATAAAATTATTTTTTTTAAAGCACAAAGAAATTTTAGAAATTAAATATTAACATATTCAAAACCCTCATTTCCCTATCAGCAAAATCTCTATTTTGGGGAGAAGCAAGCAGAGGCTAGTGGTACGAATATTACAGAAATTTTGCCCAATTTTGAGGATCATTGGTCTAAACCTAAATAATAATCCAATCAGTTAACCTCAAACAACTAACAACTCACATACATTTTCTCCAAGTTGAGTGATCTTTTTTAAAACTTCTCATTCAATAGGATGCATATGTCCAAACAAGTAATACATGCAACCAGATAAGTTTATATAACCAATGTGCATTTTAGTGAAACCTAATATTTTAACCCCATTACTAAATATTTCTGAAATCGAGAGTTTAGTGGTACTAATGATTACAGATTATGACAGACTTCTGTTGGCGTTTTTCTATTAGAACCTGTTATTTCTGTGATCAAAAATTTCAATGACTCCCCAGAGACGAGTAAAGCAAAAAACCAACTGTTTGGCATTCAAAAGCATCCACAATTTGCCTCCAGCCCACCTTTTCTAGTCTCATTTCCAATTCCATCTTTACATTACACTCCCTAGTCAAGAATGTGTGTTAGTTGCTCAGCTGTGTCCAACTCTTTGCAAACCCATGGACTGTAGTCTGTCAGGCTCCTCTGTCCATGGAGTTCTCCAGGCAAAAATACTGGAAGGGGTTGCCATTCCCTTCTTCAGGGGATCTTCTTGACCCAGGGATCTAACCAGGATCTGCTGCACTGCAGGCAGATTCTTTACAATCTGAGCCACCAGAGTCACGAATACACTTTCCCATCTGCTTGTCCTTCCTTTTGGAGAGAACTTTTTCTACCCATCCCAATTTTCAATTTGGTTAAAAAAATAAAAATTGACCCATGCTTCAGGGTCGACCTCAAATATGTTCTCTCTACAAAAACCTCTTCTTTCTCTTAAGACTCAAGTCATACTCCGCTTTGCATTACAGACACAGTATATCTGAATTGCCTTTATTTCTTCTTCAATGTCTTAGTCATATTGCTTTGTTTCATGTCATTTGCATGCTAATGACATGTGTAAATATATAAACTAATGGAAAAGGTAGGCTAAAAATGTAGTTCATCTATGTGTGATCAGAGAATCTGAGTTTCAGGGAATTTCCTGGTGGTTCAGTGGGGAGGACTCTGGCACTTTCACTGCTGGGCTCCAGTTCAATCCCTGGTCGGGAACTAACATCCATCCAACAAGCCACACAAAGGGGAAAAAAAGAGAGAGAGAGAGAGAGAAGAAAATCTGAGCTCCAGAAGGTACCAGGAATGGAGACCAAAAGGACTGGGTCTGTTACTTAGACTTCAGAGTCTTTGCCAATGTGAAGGGCTGGCTGAGATAAACAATAAATGCCAACAGCAGTCTCAAGACAGCAGTGTTTGATCTAGAAGGCAATTGGAAGGCTGAGTGAGAATTTGCACGTGTGTGATTCATAAAAGCAAGGCATAGTACAGATGTGAAGGCAGAAAAAGTACAACCAGGTGATGAGGAGTCTGATTCTGATCAATTAAGCACTGACTTTTTAGGCTGAGATCCCAGAGTAAGAAGAGTTTATACACATACACACTCATAAAAACATGGGTATATACAGCTGAAACAAGTTTCACCAAAAAAACTTAAACTTTACTATGCAAAATACACTCTATATTGTCTATACCATTTCTGTAATACTATCACAATCCACTAGATCTATTTCACAATCCACTAATGGTTCAAAACCTATTTTTGAGAATACTGACCTCTAGTCACTGAAAAGCATGGCCAAGTTTCAAGTTTCATTCTGCGATTGGTCTCCTATGCCACCATTTCTTGGCCTATTTTAGCTGTCCCTTACTCTGGCAAACGCTAAAGTTTCATGGGTAACAATGAACAAAATGTATGCATTTTACATGTAATTACATACAGTATGTACATCAAAAATAAATCCTAATACAGAGGAATTTTTATTTCTGCCAATAAGATCTAATACGCAAACCTTACTCTTTTTAAGTTTAAACACTGGACAGACCTTAAGACAATCATTATACTGTAACACAAGTGGACTGTGCTTCTTCTCTAAGGGTTAGGACTGGGGTTGCTCAGGTCTTTCCCAGAAACATGCTTAATGCTACCGTGCCCAAAGCCTGAAATGCCATGTGCTTCATTCAATAAGCACTAAGCTATGCAGGGTCATTTTAACTTCAGTGACAGCAAAGCAACATAAATGCATTTACTGTGGTAGCCAATCTGTTTCCTCAGGACTTTTCAGCAGTTAGGGGAGGAAAAACTGAAGAGTTTGGATCTTAAAGGAGCAATGAAATAGCAGGTGGCTCAGCCACTTAATGTGTGCCCCTGGCATATCATCTAACATCTCAGCCTTAAACACATAAACCTGAGACTCTAAAAACAGCATTCACCCAGTCCATCAACCTGTCTCGTTGCATGCTTCTCATCTTCATTTGTGGTCCTCTTCCTCCAGGCTCCATCACTGAAATAAAATGCTTAGCTACATAATACATACAAAAAAGACCTAAAGACTACTGTGACATAGATGCAAAGAATTATAACCATCTTGTGACCAAGAACAAGGAGCAGCAGTCTAATTTTTCTAAAAATTTATGAACCACTGCTTTAACTCCTGTCACCCAAGAAACCCAGCACCAAGTCATTTTTCTCCGCTAATAAGTGTAACGTCACCAAACTTTGTCCTTGGGTGGCAAACTGCCAATTACTAAACCAGACAGAGAACACTCCTATAAACTGATGTAAACGTAAAATAAAAGTTTACGAAAATATGTTAGAACTTAAGTGGCAAAGATCATAACCCAAGGACCTGGGAGCAAAGGTAGAAAATGAAGATTTGCAGCAACTGCTATCTTTAAAAATCACCTGACTTCAAAATTTTACAAAGTACACACGCAAGTTTAATACAGGAAAATCACTTCTCTCCCCAATTTTCAAGTGAAATTGATACTACCAAGAGAATACAATCCCAAGATGATGAACACTGGATGTCTCTACATTGTTCCCAGTTCTCAATTCTATGACTCAAGATCTAAGGTTCAAGAGCACTGGACCAGGAGTCAGTGCCCTCAACTCTAATGCCCACAACTACTTCACTGGTTATTAAGGCTTTGGTGAAGTCAGTTAAATTTTCTTACTTCTGACTCTCGAATTTTTAAAAATGTGACTTTAGGGCATTTCATAGAGTCAGCTGGCTAAAGTGAGAGCATACGAGTAAAAAAGGATCCTGAAGCCTCTAAGAACTTTTTTAATGTAGCCCAGCTCTTTCTCAAGGAGGCCTCCAAAAGTAAAATGACTTGCTCAGTGTGACAAAACAAGTTTGGTTCCTGAGTTTGAAACCAAACCCATTTTTCTCCCTTGTCACTGTGCTATAAATAATCCCAAACTGATTTTAACAGGAAGTTTAAGACTAGGTGAAAGTTTTATTCCTGACATACGACTGCAAGGCAAGGGAAAATCAAGTGGGTGACAAATGTCTGCCAGCCTCATAGTTAATGATTTGTTGCTCATAATGAAGAGTTGAGCTCTAGACACCTGTATTCTAGTCCTGGCTCTATTTTTGGTGTTTTTCAAGTTGCTTGATTTTCCAAAACCTGGTTCTTCTTCCTGAACAAAGCAAAAAGTTAGTTTTTAATCTACTGTGCAGGACTAACCATGCAAATAAGAGATGGCAACAACAATTAATACTTGCAGCACTTACACACCAAGAACTACTCTAGACGTTTTAGGCATCATTAAGTAATACCTTCACAACCACTCTTGAGGTGAGCACTATTACTCCTATTTTACAAATAAGGAACCAGAGGCACAAATACAATGACGCCAAGCCTGGATTCAAAGCCAGGAGTCTAGTTGGGTCCTTGCATCTAACCACTGCTCCACATTTCCTATCACCATTAGAATTACTATCATTTTACAAGACTGTTAAAACACAAACACAGAAATCTTTAAAGGTGAAATATGCAGAGTGCTGTAATCTTCATGACAACTGTGATTTTTTAAGTCCTAGTTTTGTGCACTGATAAGGCTTCTTTAATAAACAATAGGAGTTACTTCATCTAGAAAGTATAAAAACCTAACTTAATATCTGAAAAATATCTAAAAATACTCATGCAAAGTGTAACAAATTAGATGTATCCCGACTTTCAACCTAAAAAGTTAGAGGAAAGTTTCCTGGAATAGTCAGAGGGAGTTAAAATCTGTACTAAAACAGTTGTGTGTTGTTGGGTTTTTTTTTTTCCCTTTTTAGTGCATTTGTGTTTAAACTGACTTTTTAAAGTTGAAACAGAGTGTTAGCTAAACCTCACACAGCTCAATACTGACATTTTCAAATCACACTGCACTGATTCAGGCTGGTTACCTTACAGGAGCAGTACCCACGTGCGTCTGAGTTACTGCAGACGTAGTCGAGTGACTCAAAAGTGAATGGCATCTTAACTGAGATGGGTCCCTAAGAGTGAAAAGCCTTCCCTAACTCAGCAGTAGCCCCGTCTAAGAGAAACTTCACTTGGACTCATGTTCGTTAAGTTAAGCTACAATTTCACTTTACCTCCATGTCCTATTGTAGACGTCAGACTTGGGGAAAAGGGGATGTATTAAGAGCGAGCCATGCAGATGTTAAAATTTTAAAAGCAAGAAGGTTCAAACGGCGTAGAATGGAACCCAGGCTGGGAAAGTTAGGACTTTCAAGTCTCATATCCTAGACGTGTGAGAGAACACGTGGTGAGCCGGCACCCACGGCGGGGGGGGGGGGGGGGGGCGGTGGATGGGGGTGTCCGGAAGCAAGGAAACAGACTTGTTCGTTTTAACTGCCCAAAGCAAAGTCGATGAGCTCGGTAAGGGTCGGAGAATAGTACTGCCCCAAAGAGGGGCTCTGTCAAAAGCCAGAGTTCTTAAGAGCGCAAGCAAGAGAGCCGGCCGGGCAGCAGGAAGACGCCCCTGGGGGGCCTGGGGCCTCGGCGAATATGGCGGCCCCGGCGACGGAGAGGCCCAGACTGCACAGAGCCCGCCGGTAGGGCTCAAGTCCACTGCCCGTCGGATCTGGCCGCGCCCGTTCTCTCTGCCCTGGGGACAGGCCGCGCAAGGGGGTGACGGCGTGGGCCCACGCCGGCGCCGCCACCGCGCTCGGTGCCTCCTCGCCCCGGGCTTCCGAGGGCCACGCGCGATGCCAGACCGCTCGCCGCCAGGTCGGGGGGCAATAAGGCCGAGCCTGGTAGAGTGCCCGCCCCGCGCCGTTCCGCTCACTTTACCTTGGCCTGCAGCCTCGCTGGCGCCCAGGCCAGGCAGGTGCAGGTACCGCTGAGGTGCGCGGAAGGCACGTACTCCTGGTGTAGCCGGTTGTTGGCTGTCTCCCACACTCGCAGGTGACCATCGGTAGACGCTAAAGCGAAATAGGTCTGGCTCTGCGGAGAGAAGGCGCAGGGTACCCCCGCGGGGGACAGGGGGTCGGCAACACCGCCGCCACCCGCCGCCATTGCTGCTCTGGCTCCGCGGCAGCCACGTGTTCGCTCGTGCGCAGGCGCACCGGAGTGGGGCGGGGCCTGGAGGGAGGAAGTGGGGCGGAGGGAGTGCAGGGAGCAGAGGGAGTAGCTCTTCGAGACGCAAGCGAGCTTAGGACCGCCTACCCGTGGACGGTGGCCGGGTGGGCTCAGTGCTAATTTGTTCTGGAGACGAGTGAGTGGAGAATGACAGGACTGCTATCTTATAAAAAAAGGAAAAATATTGTAGTGGTTTTTGCCATACATTGACATGAATCAGTCATGGATTTACATGTGTTCCCCATCCCGATCCCCCAAAGTAATTAGCCTCTAACTAATAAAAATAAATGAAAAAAATAAAATGTAAAAAAATAAAAAATGGAAAAAGAAAAAGGTGTTTTTTGTTTTAATTTAAATAACATGATTGAACGAGATGTTTGAAACAAGCGTTCAGTTATAATTCCGTGATTGTGACAACCCTTTCCATTTTTCCTTATCCACTTACAATCTGTAATCCTGCACACATTAATAGTTTATTCAGTCATAAGTCTAAGTAGAGAGAGTCATGGTAAAATCTGCATTTTATATTATCTGGAATGACATAAACTGATCTACATTTTAAAAGGCATCCTGCATGTTTCATGGAGACAGTAGAGGGGCAAGAATGAAAGCAAAGAGACAATAAAGAATGAGGATGGTGGGTTGTGGTGGTGAGAAATGCTCCAGATTCAGATATACCCTGAAGTTGGAGCCAACAGGACTTGCTAAATGGATTGATTATGAAGGATGAGGAAAAGAATTGAGTGAAGGATGACTCTAAGGCCTGAGAGAATAAGTGAATGGTGATACCATTAGCTGAATTGGGGAAGTGGATCTGGATGAAGTGGAAATCAAGACTTCTGTTTGGGACAGTTAAGGCTGAGATGGCCATTAGACATGCAAATAGAGTTGTTCAATGGGGAGTCAGATAAACAAGGAAATCACAGATAGAAATTTTGCATGCATTAGTATTCAGATGCTATTTGAAACTGTAGGACTGTTCAGATCATCTAGAGTGTAAGTATAAATAGAGAAAAAAGCGTAGCCCAAAAATGTGCCAATCTGTCAGGAACGGAAAGAGAACACAGCGAAGGAGATTAGGAAGGGTTAACAGTGATTAAAGCCCTGGAGAATGAGATGCCCTGGAAACCAAAATTTTTATAAGGATTTTAGAAGCAAGACATAATCAAAACCATGTCAAATGCTTTAAGATGAAGACTGAGAATCAGTGAACTTAGCAAGATCAAGATCATTGTTGGCTTTTCAAAAGCATTTTTAGTACAGAGGTAGGGGAATAACTCATTGGGGAAAATAGAGGAGGGAATGGGAGGTGAGAGGGAAAAAAAGTATAGACAGCTCTTTCTAGGATTTTTGTTACAAAAGAGCTTGCACTAGTCTTCATGAAGATAGATTTGAGCTAGAGTTACAGATTTGTTAGTCATAAATGAAAATAAAAGCTTGTTTTGCACGAATTATACATCAGGCAGTCTTCTAGGTGCTCTGTGTGTATTAGTTCATTTAGTCCTCACAACAGCCTTAGGATGTAGAAGCTATCAACATCTACATCTTTCTGATAAGAAATTGATGTACAAAGCTGGGCAATGGAGGAAGAGCTTGAGCACAGACAAGCAGACCCAATGAGTATGTAGGGTTTATATAGATGACCCTCTGATACCCAAGCATATCAATTCCTCAACCTCCTCCCTTTCAGTGATCTCTATGCCACACCAGCCACTCACTCCCACTATCATGTCCCAGACCTTGCCATACAATAAATGCACCTCTTTCGTAATCTCAGTTTCCACACACCAGTCTATACCACCAACTCTGATCTTTCCAGCTCACTCCCTCTAACTCCCAGCATTCAGCCGGTCCTTCGACCCAACGAGATCATCAATTCATTCATCCTATAGTCTTTTCACCAGCCCTCATCCCTCCTCCCTGATGGTTGCACTTTCCTCTTAATTTATCCTAAATTCTCTCTTTACAACCCTCAACTCCCTTGCCTCTTTCCCTCATCAAAGTCTTGGCAAAATGACAAGTCTGGGGAGTTCCCTGTCAGGCCAGTGGTTAGGATTCCACAATTCTACTGCTGGGGCCCTAGTTCCATGGTCAGCTCAGTTCAGTTTAGTCTCTCAGTCATGGCCAACTGTTTGCAACCCAAAGGAATGCAGCACACTAGGCATCCCTATCTATCATCAACTCCCGGAGCTTGCTCAAACTCATGTCCATCAAGTCGGTGATGCCATCCAGCATTCTCATCCTCTGTTGTCCCCTTCTCCTGCCTTCAATCTTTCCCAGCATCAGGGTCTTTTCCAACGAGTCAGTTCTTTGCATCAGGTGGCCAAAGTATTGGCGATTCAGCTTCAGCATCAGTCCTTCCAATGAATATTCAGGACTGATTTCCTTTAGGATGGACTAGTTGGATCTCCTTGCTGTCCAAAGGAATCTCAAGAGTCTTCTCCATCTCCACAGTTCAGAAGCATCAATTCTTCAGCGTTCAGCTTTCTTTACAGTCTAACTCTCACATCCATACATGACTATTGGAAAAACCATAGCTTTGACTAGATGGACCTTTGTCTGTAAAGAAATGTCTCTGCTTTTTAACATGCTGTCTAGTTTTGGCATAGCTTTTCTTCCAAGGAGCAAACATCTTTTAATCTCATGGCTGCAGTCAGCATCTGCAGTGATTTTGGAGCCTAAGAAAAGAAAGTCTGTCACGGTTTCCATTATTTCCCCTTCTATTTGTCATGAAATGATGGGACCATATGCCATGATTTTACTTTTTTGAATGTTGAGTTTTAAGCCAGCTTTTTCACTCTTCTCTTTCACTTCCATCAAGAGGCTCTTTGGTTCATCTTCACTTTCTGCCATAAGGGTGGTGTTATATGCATATCTGAGGTTATTGATATTTCTCCCTGGAATCTTGATTTCAGCTTGCACTGCAGCCAGTCCAGCATTTTGAATGATGTAATCTGCATATAAGTTAAATAAGCAAGGTGACAACATACAGCCTTGATGTACTCCTTTCCCAATTTGGAACCAGTCCGTTGTTCCATGTCTGGTTCTAACTGTTGCTTATTGACCTGCATACAGATTTCTCAAGAGACAAGTAAGGTGGTCTGGTATTCCCATCTCTTTAAGAATTTTCCACAATTTGTTGTGATCCACAGAGTCAAAGGCTTTATCATAGTCAATGAAGCAGAAGTAAGATGTTTTTCTGGAACTCTCTTGCTTTTTCTATGATCCAACCGAGTTAGCAATTTGATCTCTTGTTCCTCTGCCTTTACGAAATCCAGCTTAAACATCTGGAAGTTCTCAGTTCACATACTGTTGAAGCCTAGCTTAGAGAATTTTGAGCATTACATTGCTAGCTTGTGAGATGAGTGCAAGACAGTAGTAGGGGCGAAATCACATTTAGAATCAAACCCCATACCTGCCAGACATGCTCTGAGAGCTCTAACATACTTTGTATGCACCAGGACCCAGAGACCCGACAGAGATTGAGACAGAACTGTGTTTGAGTGTCTCCTGAGGAGGTACCAGTCAGCAGTGGACTGCTGAGGGGCAGGGGCTCTGGGTGCAGCAGACCTGGGTATGGCATGCCCTCTTGGAGGAGGCCGCCAAACCCCACCACAGAGCCATCAGAACTTACACAGGACTGGGGAAACAGACTCTTGGAGGGCACAAACAGAACCTTGTGTGCACCAGGACCCAGGAGAAAGGAGCAATGACCCCACAAGAGACTGACCCAGACTTGCCTGTGAGTGTCCAGGAGTCTCTGGTGGAGGCGTGGGTCAGTGGTGGCCTGGTGCAGGGTTGGGGGCACTGAGTATAGCAGTGCATGCATGGGACCTTTTGAAGAAGGTCGCCATTATCTTCATTACCTCCACCATAGTTTGATCTCAGGTCTAATAACAGGGAGGGAACATAACCCCCCCATCAACAAAAAATTGGATTAAAGATTTACTCAGCATGGCCCCCGCCCATCAGAACAAGAACTAGTTTCCCCCTCAGTCAGTCTCTCCCATCAGGAAGCTTCCATAAGCCTCTTATCCTTCTCCATCAGATGGCAGATAGGCTGAAAATCACAATCACAGAAAACTAACCAATCTCATCATACGGACCACAGCCTTGTCTAACTCAATAAAACTGTGAGCCATGCCGTGTAGGGCCACCCAAGATGGACGAGTCATGGTGGAAAGTTCTGACAAAATGGGTCCACTGGAGAAAGGAATGGCAAACCACTTCAGTATTCTTGCCTTGAGAACCCCACGAACAGTATGAAAAGGCAAAAAGATAGGACACTGAAAGATGAACTCCCCAGGTTAGGAGGTTCTCAATATGCTACTGAAGATCAGTGGAGAAATAACTCCAGAAAGAATGAAGAGACAGAGCCAAAGCAAAAACAACACCTAGCTGTAGATGTGACTGGTGATGGAAGTGAAGTCCAATACTGTAAAGAGCAATATTGCATAGGAACCTGGCATGTTAGGTCCATGAATCACGGTAAATTGGAAGTGGCCAAACAGGAGATGCCAAGAGTTAACACTGACATTTTAGGAATAAGCGAACTAAAATGGAACAGAATGGGTGAATTTAACTCAGATGACCATTATATCTACTACTGTGGGCAAGAATCCCTTAGAAGAAATGGAGTAGCCATCAGAGTCAACAAAAGAGTCTGAAATGCAGTACTTGGATGCAATCTCAAAAACAACAGAATGATCTCTGTTTGTTTCCAAGGCAAACCATTCAATATTACAGCAATCCAAGTCTATGCCTCGACAAGTAATGCTGAAGAAGCTGAAGTTGAACGGTTCTATGAAGACCTACAACCTTATAGAACTAACACCCCAAAAAAGACATCCTTTTCATTATAAAGGACTGGAATGCAAAAGTAGGAAGTCAAGAAATACCTGGAGTAACAGTCAAATTCAGCCTTGGAGTACAGAAGC